GCCCATTATAGCAGCAAACAGAGGGTCACTAAAGGTTCAGACTTCGACTGCCAGGTGTGGGTGGGTAGCACTAGAGAAGATCAGCAAGAAACGTAAGCCTGATGTGCAATTTTAAGTGAGGCAATGGTCCTTTTTAAAGGAAGATAGGATCACTGAGATAAGCACCCCTTGTCATTGCCTAAGTGCTGACAGCTGACACACTAACTCTCAAGCACAGACTCTTTCTTACTCCCGCAGGAAGCACATGTTTTGGGTAGACAGATGTGTGCACTTTCTTATATAAGGGTTAAATTGCTTCTGTTCTTCAATACATTCTAAGAAAAATCATCTCCAAAAAACCTCCTCCTCCGGGTTCGTGGGGCATGTTAGGGAGCCGTCGAACCCCACAAGGGAGCGGCCCGTCCAGGAACAAGCCGCGAGCGGCTGCAGGAAAAGGGTTGGGATGAGAGAGCCTCTGCTCTTCCCTTCCTCCTGCCCGCTTTGTTGCTGCAGCTGGTCTGCCTCGCGGTTCCATTCGAGCGCCTCGCGCAGCTGTAGGCAGGAATTTTTATTTCATTTTTTGCCGCTCTTATTGTTGTTGCTGCGGCGGCGGCGGCGGCAGCAGCAGACCCGCTGGCTCCCTCCCAGGGAACAACTTGCCGGGCTGGTCACGTGGGGAGGGGGGGAGGGGAGGATATCGCCGCAGCCAACTCTTGGGAAAGGAGAGAATGCTGACTGCGGCCAGAGATTTGTGGGGGTTGCTTGCAGCTGCTGCAGCCCTCCCCAGATCTCCCCCTTCTTTCCGGTCAGTTGTGTGTGTTCAGTACAAGGCAAGTCGCTTCCGATTGAATATCCAAAACGTCCTATCTACAGCCTCAGAGCGAGGTAACTCTGTTTAGGATTGCACTGTCAACCTTGCAGATTCTACCCAGGATCGGTCAGCGCTTGCTGCACTTTTTCCTTAAAATCTACGGGGATTGCAATGCAAACAATGCTCCCTCTAAGCTGCAGAGTCTTGTGGGCAAAGATTCTACTTTGTGAGCTGCTGGCATTAAAGTTGAGCAAGCAATCTGGCTACGGCATACATTCGTTTGCTCTGGAGCCCTCCTTCCTGAGCGAAGACAACACGTGTGAGCTGGAGGCTAAAAAACTATGAGCTTGCTCTCACAGGGAACGCTGAATGCAAAGGCTTCACTTCTCCCGGATCGTGCCCGAAGACCAGAAGCAGACCCAGTCCTATAGTTCCCCCATGCATGCACCGCACACAGCTCCGCATGCCATTCACCTGCAGCAGCCACTGAACACGCATCTCTTCCATCCAGACGTGCACGCACACACGTAAACAGCGCGCGGGGGGGTTAGTCAAACGAGGGAAGCCCTTTCCGTGCTAACTTTCCCCCCAAACCTCCCTTCTGCTCCAGCCTCACGGGAAATGTGACGGCTGTCCCCGCCCCGCCTTATGAGTGCTGGGTGGAGGAGGGGCGTGGAGCAGCGGAGGAAGGCAGAGGTCTACTACCTTCTATTTTTTCCCTATGAGTGCTCCGAGGAGGAGGGAGGGGGCGGGCCAGCGGGGGGGAGGAGGGGGGAGCAGATCGGGGGGGAGGGCCCACGCAAAATCCGTGGAGGGCCCGGCCCCCAGGGCCCCACGCAGGCTACGGGCTTGCTAAAGATACGATGGTTACTGGAAGCATGTAGGGAGAAAGGCAGCTAACACATGTTTTAAATAAATAAACTTCAACTATTACTAGCCTATCCTAGCAACAACATCGTTAGGAAAAGTATATAGTTGAGGGTTTTGAGGTCTGAGTGTTTTCACCATTTCTTTTTATCCTTGTTCAGCTTTACAGACCATGCACATTTTTAAATTTGGCTGTGAAACAAATATGTTTTGAATGCTCAGAGCATAATTCCTGTAAACACACTGTGCATATTTTGTCTTGCTTTCTGAAGAGAGGCAAGGAGGAGGGAAATGGTGAGCCCTAAGGTGTGGAAACGGTGATAGATGGTCCCTGCGTTAGCTAGGAGGAGCAAAGGAGGAAACAGGACAACTAGGCAGAGTCTTTAAACAGCAGTGCAAATGCAGACTGCTAAATGTGCAAGTTTGTCTAACAGGAGAGTCTTTCAGACCTATTGGTGGCAGCAGTTACTACAAGCCAGGAGTGTAGTTGCTGTACTCATGAAGAGAGGGAAAGGGGTGGTGCCATCAGGCAGAGAGACCTGGGACAGCTGGGAGGCTTTGCCAGGCTCCTGGGACAGAAGGGAATGGGTCTTGTGAGACCATTCCTTCACACAGTGGTATTTCTATGGCCCATTTTTAAAAATCCTGGGAAAACCCTCCAGCAGTGGGGGAAAGGTACAGTCACAGAAGGCAGCGGCAAGGAAAGTGTGGGGGAGACTTCCATGTTGCTTGTCATTGCCATGGTGGATGCCTCTGCAGTTGCAGCAGCAGAATCATCTCCATGTGGAAACAACCTCTTTCCTTTTCTTCCCTCAGAGATGGAGCATGTCAGGTGACCGATGTTAACGTGGTGCACACAGACCAAGCTGGTGTCTTCACAGTTCCTGGTAAGTATGAATCATTTCCAGACTGGAGAGAGATAAGAGACTTTTTCAGGGAGACAAAGTCAGCTTGGAAGAGGTATTGCCATTTGTGGAGTGCACAGGCTCCTTGTTGTTGCCTCTGATCAGTAAGTCTGGCAGACTTTTGCACTGTTTCTTAACCCTCTTGGATCAGAGATGACCATGGGAAATATGGGTGTCAAAACTGAACCAGTTTAATTTCCCTGGTGCCCGTCTCAGTCCATCAACTGCCTACAAATGGTGACTGAACCAAAAGGAAGGGGGCAACTGCAAGAAAAAAATCCCAGTGCTTTCTGCCTCCCGCCCTCCCTTGGGGTATTGTCACTTCCCATATACAGGTGTGTGTGTGTGTGTGGGGGGTCAGTGTTGCACAGTGCTTCCGTATTCAGAGGTGCTCAGAGCAGTGGATTTATTCAACAAGTTGCCTGAATGTAATCTGATCATTTTGCTGCAAATTCTAGAAGCTGTATGAAGTGAGATTTCTGCAAGTAATGGGTGTCTTCTGTTTCAGCTACCAGTGAAACCGTACGCATGGTGGATGTAGATTATGAAAGCTACCACATTGTACATGTTGTGGTGAAAGATAGCTATAGCCTGTATCTCTTAAGTAAGTGTCATTGATGAAACTGGGCATGTTGGCGGTGGATAGGACAAGAAAATGTGTTGGGTGTAGATGAAAATTCTTGAAAATTGTACATTTTGATGGTTAAAAAAGCCCTTCATCCAAAGAGAACATAGGCCCTGTTCACATGGAGGATTTGCCATGGTAAAGGCACAAATGGCAGGCGGATTATCGGTGCACAATCACACCACAACATCTGGGAAGCGTAGCACACCCGTGGGCAATCCATGGCATCCTGCCGAAGATGCATGGTAAAAAACTACCTAGGAAAGTGTAGTAGTATCCGGAAAACGTGGGGCATCTGATCGTGGGAGCGCTAGTAACATACATACATAGACCTTTATTGGCATAACACATCAGCAAAAAGAACAATGAAACAAATAGAAAATAAATAGCACGAAGTAATGGATTATAACAATTTACACCATGCTGCACCAACAAGGAATCGTTTTTATAAACTTCTCGGAAATAATAGACTCAGATGAGAATATAGCAATTCTAAAAAATACAAGGGGGTTAAGGCTTGTACACCCCTACCCTAAGCTTCCAAACATAGGCTAAGAATTCGGCAACAGACAAAGTAATTGCCGGGGACTTATCAGACAATAAAATTTTAAGATCATTGTCAGTCGGGTTCCTTGTGGTAGGTAAGTGGGGACTAATCAGATAGCTACGCATAGTAGAATATTGAGGACAACGTAGAAGGATATGAGCAACTGAATCAGGTTCACTACAGAGACAATAGCAGGTTCTGTCCCTATAGGGGATACCCCTATATCTGCCTAAAACAACAGCTGAGGGGAATAGATTGAATCTCTCTAGCATAAAAACCAGCCGATAAAGTGGGATTGTTAGATTAGAGATGTACAGAGTCATAGAGCCTGGGGGGGGGGGGTCAAGGGAGCGTGGAGAACAGACTCCATAGCTCCCAGCATTAATTTTTTGGGCTTCCATATCCCAAAGCCTCCTCTGTACCACCTGCAAAATAGCTGTTTCACCACAATTGTACAGGGAGGCCAAATCAATTCCCATGGTTTTGATTTTCTCCACTATAATTTGTGACCAAGTAGAAATATATGGGTCTGCAAGAAGTTGAGCAATAAGGCTGTTAGGGGTAGAACTAAAGTGCAAATGCAACAAA